TTGTGTATAATGTATGTCTAAAATATGTTTAGGCAGACATCAGTGCTAGTGTATACTTATTCAGTCAGGTTACTGAAATTACTTAGACTGTGGCATTATCTTAATCGAATTTCATACATTTTGATGATCTGATTTGGGAGACAGGGCAGGTGAACAGTCCACTTATGTCTTTAGTTGTCATTGGGAGCTTTCAGCACATAGTGCCTTGTTTGGCCCTGAAAACCAGTCTCTGATATGAATATTTCAAAAACAACATTCAGATCCTCAGCAATTCTCTCTGAAAAGACAAGGTTCCACTACACACACACACACACACACACACACACACACACACACAGAGAGAGAGAGAGAGAGAGAGTGACCCTCCAAGATGGCCTGGTCTCCCCCAGGCTGTGGGTTTCCATGTGATATTGGTTTCATACTTCTTGCACATTACGAGACTCACTGAGCTTGGTTGGCTTTCCAGTTTGCATAAGGAAGTTTTCCCCAAATTACTATAGTGAACTAATACTACAGCTTGAGTTTCCATGTGTTGCCTTTCTATTATTGAACCCAGGAGCTTGGTACTGTGATACATTTTTTTTTTTTTTTTTGAGACAGGGTTTCACTATGTGGTTCAGGTCAGCCTTGAACTCACATTGTAACCCAGGCTTGTTCTACCACACTCTGCTGTGATACATTTTTTGAGACAGGATCTCAGTAAGTCACTAAGGCTGGGCTCAGACTTGTGATCCCTCTGCCTCAGCCTCCCAGAATGCCGGGATTACAGGCCTGTGACACTACACCTAGCTCTGCTTTCATGTCTACCGTATCTTTTCTTCTGTTGCCTTTGGATTTGGTTTGCTCTATTTCTGTTTTTCTCAAGGCAGAAGTTTAGGTGATTAATTTTTAATATTTCCTCTTTTCTAATATATGCATTCAATGTGATAAATTTCACTCTGAACACTAAGTTCTTTTATTTTTTCAGTCAAGTTGCTATTCATGTATAGGAATGCTATTGATTTCTTTGTTATAATTGCTTTGTGGAATCTTTGGCATTTTCTACATACAGGGTCATGTTACTGCAAATACAGATGATTTTACTTCCATCTTTTGAAACTGGGTTCTTTAAATTTCTTTTTCTTTCAGGTTGTTCTTGCTAGTGTATACACTACTACGTTGAGTAGAAGTGGCAAGAGTGCATCTTTGTCTTGTACCAGAGCTTAGTGGACATTTTTCCCCATTGATTGTGACACTAGCTGTGAGTTTTCCATAAATGGCCATCATTGTTCTGAGAAACATTCCTTCATATATTTAAGTGTTATCAAGAAAGGATGCTAAAGTTTGGCATATGCCTTTTTAGCATGAACTTATATGACCATGTGGTTTTAGCTTTCATTCTGTGCCTATAATACTTGCATTTATTAATTGTATGTGACACTTACCCTGCATGCCAGAGATAGATCCCACTTAGTCATGTTTTATAAGCATTCTGATCTTTGTTTATTTAGGTTTGCTAATCTTTAATTGAAATTTTTGAATCAATACTTATCAGATGCATTTGCCCATACTATTATTTTCTTGCAGTCTCTTAGTTTCAAGTGCAATAGGCCTTGTAAAATGTGTTTACAAGTGTTCCCGTAGCTCTACTTTTGGAAGAATTCAAGAAGTCTTGGTCATAATTCATATTTGACCCTTTGGTAGTATTTGGTCACAAAGCCATTTGGTACTAGGCTCTTATTTGCTTGGAAGTTCTTTTCTTATTACTTCTTCAGTCTCCTTGTTATTTGTCTGTTCAGGCTTTCTATGCAAATCTCTTTCTCATTCAAACTTTAGAATCATCCTAAGGAATACTCCAGATGCAGAAGAGAAGAATGTATATTCTATTGTTATTAGATGGAAAGTTTTACATAAGTTTTATACACATATAAAAATAGAAAGTTATATATATATATTTGTAGTCTGTTAGATTTATTTGGTCTAAAGTAAAATTTAAGTGAACTACATATTTCTTTATTAATCTTCTATCTGATTGACCTATTCATTGTTAAAAGGAGGACAATAATGTCAGCTATTAAAAGCTAGACAGTAAAGGACAATTACAGTTTTCTGCTTATTTCTTCCCTTATGTTCATTAATATGTGCTTTATACATTTAGTTGCTCTGATATTGAGTAAATATATTGCAATTGCAATACATACTTGATGATCTGACCCTTTTATCATTAAGTAATGATTTTTATCTCCTATTACAAAGTTTTAGACTTAGCTTCTTTCTGTGAGAGGTATCCCTCTTCACTGTGAGTTGTTATTTGCATGAAATATATTTTTCCCTCCCTTTGTTTTCAGCATATTGTGTCCCTAAAGCTAACATTCATCTGTTGTAGACAGTAAAAAGCTGAGTCTCTTCTATAGTTGAAGAGTTCCATTAAGATTTTAAGATTATGTAGATTTCTTACAATGACTTCTCTCAGCTTTTAATTGTCCTAGAAAGATTTTGCTTCTCATTTATTTCATAAGGATATATTTTCTAAATATAATATTCTTGGTTGGCAGTTTTCTTTCCACAGCTTGGAATATACCATCCCATTTCTCTTGAACTGAAAGATCTTTCTCATTCTTCTTTCCTTTTTTCTTCCCTTCTTACTAAGTTATTTCAAAAGGCCTGCCTTCAAGTTCAGGGATTTACTCTGCTTCTTGATCTATTCTCTATTGAAGTTGTCGATTGCATTCTTACTTCATTAAATTCTTCAGCTCTAAAATTTCTATCTTTATCTATATATTTGTTGAATTGCTCATTCATAATGAACTTATTTCACTATACTTTATGTCTGTATTCTCCTTGTTTCTCATGACATTTTAAGATCACTATTTCAAATTTCTTTTCAGAAAATTTATCAATTTCCATGTTTGAGATCTTAGTGCAGAATTACTGTGGTCCTGTGGTGATGTTTCTTTTAATGTGATTCTTTTTCATGCTTTATGTGCCTGCATTGATGCCTGCACATTTTGTGGAATAGCTGCCTCCAGCTTTAAAGAGTGGCTTTCACAGGGAAAGACTTTCATCTGCATACTGACCCGATGGTATTAGTTGGTATTAGAAGGGGATACTGGTCCTGGTTCTGGTGAGTGCCATTGAATAGTCTCTGTCTAGCTTCTTTAGCTGTGATCAATTTAGATAGTCAGTGTGCGTACTTCAGTGGCCTACTTTGCCGGAGTTGCTAACAGCAAGCTTGGTAAAGTAGCTCTTTAAGGCTCTTAGTAGTGAAGATTTTAAGCGTCCTATTATTATTTTTCTATATTGAGGAGTCCTAACTGAGGAGATCTCTCTTGGTCCCAGGTCTGTCACAGCTCACAGGAAGCAACATCAGCAGTGTCCTCCAAAGCAAAGATGTTCAGAGTCTTTATGGATCTGTGACCCTGGGCTATATCTTGCTAATCTACTATATACCAGTGGCACAGATGTAGGTTTATGCTATAAGGCATGGGTAGGTACAGGTCTAGTAGTACTATGGCTCTGGGGCACTCCTTTGTATCTCAGTCCCATAGGCAAGGATACAGCTGTGATTCTGACCCCTGGGGTAAGAGCACTGGCCTGCCTCCAGAGGTTTGGCACTAGAGAGAAGAATGCAGTAATACTTCAAATTTTAGAGCCAACAGGACAATAGCAACTTGGGGACCAGGAGAATAGGTACCATGTAGTGAAGACTCTGGATGCCGAAGAGGTGGCCCAGGCTCTTTGAAAATGAATGCTGCATAAGTACTGGGGAATGGTAGATTTCAACAATGGCCAGGGCCTCTGCAGTCAGGGAAGAGTTTAAAGATGGCTCTACTATCCATGCAGAAAGGCAGCAAAGCAGCTCAGACTATGGAGGGCTAATCCAGATACACGAAAGTAGGGTACTGTGGTTGCTCAGCACACAGAGGAGGGGTGGTACAGCTTAGACCAGGTGCAGTTTACGGTGCAAAGGATGCCACATCAGCTCAGGAACCTGGGGACACTGTTACTCTCCTGGGCCTCGACTCTGAGGAGCCAGTGGAAAGGCAAAGCAGCAGCTGGGATTAGGAGATGATTGTCTCTGAGGTAGCTCATTCCCAGAGGACAAGGAAGCATAACATTATTATGCCTGTGTAGTGAGTATCAATGATGATAGGGCCTAAGTGGCTACTGGGTCTGAGAGCAGCATGCACTCTAGCAGTGCCTTTGGTTTCAAAATAGCACAGTACAGTAGAAGCTTTAGCCACGTGTCACTTTTCATTTCTATTTTGATCTTACTTTTATATTTTCTATAAGAGATATATATTTTATTTTAGAATATTTTGAATTGGTATCATTTGTAGTTAAAATAATTTTTCTTTTTTCTTTTTTTTTCTCTATATATTAGTAAACAACATACCTTACTGTCTTATTGGACACTTTACTGTCCTTTGCTTTTGGACATCTTTGGTAATTTTTGTTACTGCTGGTTATAAAGAGTATATTGCATTGACATGTTTTTTTTTTTCTTTTTTGTATCTTTATTTTGTTGGCACATTTTAGATATACATAATGATAACATTCACCATAGGGAGTTTTTACCTGTACATGATATACTGTTCTTCTTCTTTTTTTCCTATTCCCCTCCTCTCCCTTCAACTCCTCTTCCCCTTCTTATTTACCAAAGCTTTGCTTCCACTTTTTCCTTCTATTCTCTCTTTCCTTCTTATCTCTTCCTTCCTTTCTCCCTCCCCTCTCCCTTGTTCCCCTTCCTATTTACATTCACTGAGATAGTCTTAGCAGTCATTAAGTTTTTAACTGATATTTCCACTAAATAATGATACAAAACAATTTTTGAAGGTAAACATTACTTCATAAACCCATGCACTCACTTGCAAAAATAAAATTATAAGACATGAAGATTTATAATTTTCCCAAATAAAAATGTCTTTTTCAAATATATTTCACTGAAAGACAAATTTGGTACACTTTTTTTCCTTACTACTATATACACATATAAGAGATTGAGAAAAATGTCTACTAACTTGTAGAGTGCCACAATCACATTCTTCACCTTCTTCCCTTATTGAATTGCCACAAATTCTCTTTGGCTTTGTCTGCTTATAAACTGGCACTTCATGAGGATTGTTCTTAAGACAGCTAAGGCCATAATGTGTTGCAAAAGATTTAAAGCTATCCAGGCTGCAAGTGCTAAAATCCTTTAAACCCCCAGAGTACCTAAAATATAAAATATGGGCATGACAAAAATTACTGGTATATATCTCTACATATCTCTTAATATGATATTTTGAAAAAAGATTTCAAAAGCAGATATTTTACATGTAAAATGATAAGCGCACTTTTAGAAATATTGACTAAATTGATATGCTGTAACATACTTTTATAATCTCAGTAAGAAAAAATTAAAAACTAATATATTCCAAAAAATTTTGGTCACATACACCATGGTCCCATAAAAATATCTGCAAAGAATTCTTCCCAAGACCTCCTTGTACCTCAATGCTCAGAAATAGGCTTGTCTTTATAATTTATACATGTTCAAAAGATACCTTCATTATCATGTTTATTACAGCACTATACACAATGGTCAAAATATGGAATCAAGAGCCAACACTGATACATGCACAAGCCATGTACCAATCCAGGCACAGAAGAACATTACATATTGGTTAATGGAACTATTCAACAGCAAGAATTAAGAATTGTAAACATATATACACCAAACCACTGTGCACCCTACTTCATAAAACAAAATCTAATGGACACATAAAAGATAATATAAACATCAATAAAATTATAGTGGGGTATTCTCAATATTCCACTATCGTAATTAGATCAACTATGAAAAACATAACTCTTGAACAAATGGATTTAAAAGATATCCATCTCATAGAAGTGGAGAGCAGAATAATGATTACCACAGGCTGGAGAGGGAAGGGGAAAGGAGGGATGTACAGTTGGCCAATGTAGGTGAAATTACATTTACATAGAAGGAATATACTCTGAAATTCTATTTCAAATAGTGACAATAATGTATAATGTACACTTCCAAATAGCTAAAAGAGGATTCTGAATGTTTGACCACAAAGAAATGATAAGTAATGAAGGTTATTGCTATGTTCATTACCCTGATTTTCATTATTACTAATGTACACATATATTGAAACATCACATTTTACTCTATATTGCTACATTTGCATATATCAATTAAAATGTGTTTCAACAAATGAAAACCCAATTGAGCTTTCATGTGTGGCTTCATTTCTGAGCTTTCCAACCTGTTAAATTGTTTATTGTGTCCATTTCTTGCTTTTATGTCACTGTTTTGATTACTACATATTTGTAACATATTTTGACAACAGATAGAATGAGGCTTCCTATTTTGTTCTTTTAGCTCAAGATTATTTTGGCTGCTCAGGATCTTCTTTAATTCCATGGAAGTTTTATGATGTTTGTCTATTTTTCTGAAAAATTTCATTAAAATTTTAATATATATTCCATAAAATCAGTATATTACTTTGGCTAGCATGGATAATTTAATAAGCATTTTATTGAACACAGTCTAGCTTTTTATTTATGTTTTCTTAATTCATTTCATCAATATTTTGTAGTTTTCAGTATACAGTTCCTTTACCATCACTAAAATTATGCAAATTGTATGACTTGATCATTGAAGATATCCAGTTAGCCTGAAGAAAAAAGGGTAGATTCTGGAATATAGGAAAGAGGAAGAGTTTTCTCATAAAGAGTGTCATATCTGTGTTGATATTTGTTCCCTTTGCATTTGAAAAGAAAATGTATTCTGAAGTTGCCTAATGGTAGTACTCTATTATTGCTAGTTACATTAATTTTATTAATAAAATACAAAACTAACAAAGAAGAAATCAATGTACTTAATAAAGAAAATTATCTTACACTGCTTTTGGTGTCATTGTGCAAACATCAGCTGAACAGTAGCAGGTGTCAGTATTGTCATAAACTAATCCCATATTAAGGCCCAGTAACTGCACAATAATGACAGCATATGACTCCAGGGATAAACCAGCTGGATACTAAATGTAAAGAAAATAAGAAAAAATTATTCTAATCAGTTATAAAATAAGATAATATTGAGTATAATGAAAAATTAGTGTACTAGTTAGATAATGAATGAAACTGTAGTGCAGTTAAACTTTTTTTTTTTTTTTTCGTTTTTTTTCCGGTCCCGGGAATCGAACCCATGACCTTGCGCTTGCCAGGCAGGTGCTGTGCCTCTGAGCTAAATCCCCAGCCCCAGTTAAACTTTTTGATGATAGACTTGGATGCATGGATGAGTCAATGTAGCAGTTAACTTCAAAATACTATTACTTAATGACGATTGAAAAGGCCTTAGCAAATCTTAGTCTTAAACATCATCTTTGTATTGCTTCTCTGAATTATTTAAACAAAATGTTTTTTATCTTTTATTTTAATAGTTAATTGTACATTTCTTCTATAGCTGGCAGCTTCTGAAATGGGTCCCAGTCATCTTTGCTTCCTAGATGTGACTCTATTCCACTGAGTGTGGGCTAGATTTGACTTGCTTCCAATTAGCTGAAGGTAGCAGAAGTAATGAGTAACCATTTCTGAGATAGCTTATGAAAAGATCAGCTTCTCGCTCATTCTTGGGGGAGCCAGCTGATACGCTGTAAGATAGACAATGGGAAAGCCCACATGATTGAGCTTGGAAATAAGATTTGCTAAGGTTGGTCAACAGCTGCATGACTCAACATGAAAAGACCACCCCTCCCCATCCAGCTGAACCCTTACTTACACATTAATTGCAACCTTGTAAGAAACCCTAGGTCTGAACTACCCACAAAGCTTATTCTATATTCCTGCACAAAACCATGCTGTTTTTATTTGCTAAAAATTTTGTTTTAGTTAATTATACAGCAACACTCTCAAAAGATATTATTATTCTCTACTATAGTATTTCAAATTCTGTTTTCTTTTAACAGTTCTGCTCAGAAGATAAAGAGTATTGTCATATAGGAAAGAGAAAACAGCTATCATTTCCAATGTCTAACTAATTTCAAATTGTTACTTTAAAATGAGGGCAACACTGAAACTATTTGGGCTAATTCAACCATAATACCCCTTAGTTATTCATAGGCATTAATTTGTATATTTAAGTGTTTTAGGAAATATCAATCTCTTCACCATGCAGCAAAATAATACGGACAGTTGAACATCTTCATAATACTAAATAGCAACGCTGTAGAAGAAAGATAACTTATCTTACAGACTAATTTGAAATTTCTGGTAATGTAAAGAAAAGGGTGCTCTCTAATGGACCACAAGTAAGCGTAATGGCAGTGAGGGACTGGCAAGTAATGAGCAGTTTAGTAGAGGCAGGACTATTACCCATGGGAATGTGTGCAAAGTTTGATCTTCTGTGTGTCCTTAGTTGCTTAGAGTTCAATTGTAGCCACTAACAGGTAGAAAATTGGCATGGCCAACAGCAATAAATATGTGTACACATGTCAGTGTAGCCTCAAAGGGCAGTTAGTTATTTCACTTCCTGGAAGACTGATTTCATGCATTCCTTCCTTTCTCCATCCCAGCTTCTGATCCAAAGCAGTTTTGAGGACAGAGGTAAGCAGTGGATTACTCTACAAGTTTTTACCAAACTTTTATACATGTCATATTTTCTACTACATAGAAGAACACATAGAGATCTTTTTTATTGGTATCAGATACCAGCCAATTGACTAAAATCTCAAGGAATCTCAAGAAAATAAATCATACATCTGATGAGAACAAACACTGTAAAAGACTAATTATTGGTTAGAACAAAATGTTATTTATTAAGCCATAATAAAAAATAAAATATTTAAAAACAAATTTAACAAAGAAGATGTAATATCTACACAATGATAACCATAAAATATTGATGAACAAAAAGACACAAACACATGGAACATTATCTCATTGCCATGGACTGGAAGAATCGACATTATAAAAATATCTATACTACTCAAAGTTATATACAGAGTCAATGCCATCAGTATCAAACTCTCAATCTCATTTCTCACAGAAATAGAAAAAAAATCATAAAATTTGTATGGACTCTCAAAAAGAAAAAAATAAACATTAACCCAAAGCCATTTTGCTGGAAGTATTTCAAATTATATTGCAAAGGTATGATAATAAAACCTCACAATATTTACATAAACATATAGGCCAGTAGAAAAGAATAGAAACCTCTCAAATAAATCCATATATATGGTCAACTGATTTTTGAGAAGAGCAATGCAAACAGCCAATGAGAAAAGGACATGCTCTTCCATAAATGGCTTTAGGGAATAGTGAACATTTACATGAAAATAAGTAAGTCAATAAAATTAGGCAATTATTTTATATCATATACAAAAATCAATTCAAAAGACTTAACCATAAGACCTAAAACCATAAGAATTTCTAAAAGAAAACTGGGGAAAGGCTTCTTGACATTTGACACAATGATAGTGGGGGACCTCAACATCCCACTATTACAGAATAAATGGACAAAAATCAACAATAAAATATCAAGGGGGTGAACCACACCCTTCAACAGATGGACCTAGTAGATATCTACAGAATGTTCCACCCTACAACAATAGAATACACATTTGTTTAAGCATCCCATGGAGTTTTGTACAAAAGAGATATCTTAGTAATGCATAAAGTTTGCCTCAATAAATACAAATAAATTGAAATCATACTGCAATAAAACTAGAAATTGGTGGGAAAAGAAACAACAAAGTATTCAATTAGGCATTAAACAAAATGCTGTTGAGTAGCAAAACTAAGTGACAGAAAATTAAGGAAGAATTTAAACAATTTATAGAATCAGACAATAATGCTAGGACAACATACTGGAACCTATGGGACACAATTAAAGTAGTTCTAAGAAGAAAGTTTATTGTTGTGAACACCTACGCACATGAAAAAACCAGACGAAACCCAAATAAATAACCTAATCATGCACCTCAAAGTCAAGGAGAAACAAGTTAAAACAAGGAAAGAAATTATAAGGATTGGAGTATAAATTAATGAAATTGAAACCAAAAAGAATAATACAACAAATTGAAGAGTTGGTTCTTCAAAAGAATAAACAAAATAAACAAATCCTTAACCAAACTTACCAAAATGAGAACAGTAAAGACACACAGTAATGTAATTAGAAATGAAAAAACGTGTAGTAACAACAAAAAACATGAGAATCCAGAATTATTAGTAACTGCTTTGAAAATCTGTACTCCAAAAAACTGCACAATCTTGAAGAAGTGAATAGATTCCTAGACACGTGAATAAAAAATTGAATGTAAAATGCATAAAAACCATAAACATCCAATAAGGCAATGAAATTAAGGGAGAGATTTTTAAAAAATAACCTACCAATTAAGAAAAGCCAAAGTCCTCATGGACTCAGCACTAAATTCTGTAAGAATTTAGAGAAGATCTAGTGCCAATACTCCTCAAACTCTTTAAGAAAATGGAAGGGGAAGGAGTATCGCCAAACTCATTCCTAGGAGCTAGCATTACCTTGATTCTAGAACCAGAAAAAGACTCAACAACAATAACAATAACAATAACAACAAAATGGGCACCTACCAAAACAGATATATCGATTTACTACAATCCCAACCAAAGTACCAGCAGTATTCCTCACAGAACTAGAAAAAACAATCCTAATATGCATATGGAATCAGAAAGACTCACAATAGGAAAAGTAACCCTGGAGAACAAAAGGAAAGCAGAAGGCAATCCAAGCCCAAACTTAGGTTATACTACAAGTCTACACTGATAAAACCAACATGCTACTGACACAGAAACTGACATATGGGTCAGTGGAACAGAATAGAGAATACAGAAACAACCCCTTGCACATTCAGTCATCAGATCTTTGACAAAGGGACCAGAAACCTAAGCTGGAGGAAAGATAGCCTCTTCAATAAATTGGTGGGAAAACTGGTTATGTAAGTGCAAAAGATTTAATCTAGACCCGTATCTTTCACCATGAACAAAATATAATCAGAATGGATCAAACACATATTAAAACAGAAACAATCTTATGGATGATAAAATAGGTAAAACTTGAAAACAAGCACAGTTAAGGACCTTTTAAACAAAATCCCAGTTGTGAAGTAAATGAAATAACTAATAGAGTAGAAGACAAAGCAAAAATGGGGGGGGGGAATATTTACCAGCTACTCCTCAGACAGAAGACCAATACCTACAATATATACAAAGAACTCAAAAACAATTATACCCTGAAGAATAAAAGACCCAGTAAAAAAGAAGCAATTGAAATAAATAAGCATTTCTCAGAAGTACAAATAGCTGAAAAAATGTTCATGAAAAAATGTTCACTACCTCTGGCCTTTAGGGAAATGCAAATTAAAATAAAACTGAGATTGCATCTTACTCCAGGAAGAATGGCTATAATAAGAAATCAGCTGGTGAGGCTGGAGGGAAAAAGTAACCCTTCTACATTGTTAGTGGGAATGTAAACTAGTACAAGCACCATGGAAATCAGTATGGAGATTCCTCAAGAAAACTAAAAGTAGAAATTCCATTTAATACAGCTATTCCCCTCTTAAGTGTCTCCCCAAAAGAGTTAAAGACACTGCATTACATGACACTTGCATACCCACGTTTATAGCAGCACAACTCATACTAACTAAATATTCGAATTGGCTTATATGTCCATCAGCAGATGAATGAATAATGAAAAATGTGTTATTTATACACAGTAGAGTTCTATTCAGCCATCATTAAGGATAAATTTAAGTCACTGCAAGAAAATGGATGCATCTTTTCACCACAATGTCAAGTGAAATAAATAATATACCTAAGCCCAAATATCACATAGTTTCTCTTATATGGGAAACCCAAAGTATAAATAATTTGTAGAACAAAATAAAAAATAGATAACAGGAAATATGGAGGCTTTGCAGTTTGGAAGGGGAACCAGAAATGGGGGAGGCAGAGAGAAGGAAAGGCAAGGGGAAGTAAAAAGTATTAAGATGTGTTTTGTGTGTATACC